AGCTTTCCATCCAAAATTGGCAGAGTGCACATTCTTTTCAAGTACACATGAAATATTCTCCAGGCTATTCTCCAGGATAGATCATGTTAGGTCACAGAATATTCTACAGGATAGATCATGTTAGATCACAAAACAAGTGTCAATAAATTTAAGAAGATTTAAATTATATCAAGTATCTTTTCCAACCACAACAGTTTGAAACTAGAAATAAATTGCAAGTCAATCAATTCAAATTTAGTAGAAGAAAGTAAATAATAAAGATGAGTGGAAATAAATGAAATATATACTTAAAAATTAGAAAAGATAAGGGAAACTATAAAAGTAGGTTATTTGAAATGATAAAATTGATAAGACTTTAGCCAGACTTTCAAGAAAAGAAGAAAGACATTGATGAAAGAAATTGAAGGCAACACACAAAAAAATGGAAAGATATACCATGCTCATGGGTTGAGAGAGTTAATATTGTTAAAATGTCCATACTACTGCATCTACAGTTTCAATGCAATTCCTATCAAAATACCCATGACATTTTTCACAAAGCTAGAACAAATAATCCTAAGTGTGTAAGGAACCACAAAAGACCCTAAACAGTCAAAGTGATCTTGAGAACAAATGAAACTGGAAGTATCACACTCTCTGATTTCAAACTCTACTAGAAAACCATAGAGATCAAAACAGTGCAATATTGGTAATTAGGACGTGTGGTGCATTTTCTTGGGGGTTACTTTTTGAGTTTTAATTTACATAAAATAAATGCTCATATTTTACCTATACATTTTCATGTCTTTAGACAACATACACATTTTCACAAATACAATTCCAATCAGGATAAGAATACTTCCCAACACCCCCAAAGTTCCTGGTGCACCTTTCCAGTCAACCCTCCCCCCAAGGCAACTGCTTCACCAATTTCTATCACATTAGATTAGTTTCATCTGTTCCAGAAATTCATATACACAATAGGCAGTGTTCATGTCTGACTTCCTTGCTCAACAAAATGTTGTTGTATACATCAGAAGTTCATTCCTTTTTGTTGCTGGCTAGTATTCCATTGTGTGAAAAAAACCACAATTTGTATATCTGTTCATTTGATGGACATTGGAGTTGTTTCCAGTGTAAATCCTTTATGAATAAACCTGTGATGAAAATCCTTGCCCCTCAAACCAAACCAAAGCAAAGCAAACCAAAACAAGAGTACAATGTTAGCACAAAAACAAACACATAAATCAGTGGAACAGAATAGAGTTCAGAAGTAAACTCATACTTAAATGGTCAATTAGTCTTCAACAAAGAAGGCAAAAAATAAAATGAGGGAAGACAGTCTCTTCAATAAATGCTGTTGGGAAAACTGGACAACTACATGCAAAACAATGAAACTGGACTTTCTTATATACAAAAATAAAGTCAAAATGTATTTAAAGACTTAAATGTAAGAATGGAAATTCTAAAACTCTCAAAGGAAAACAGAAGTAAGCTTTGGACATTGGTCTGAGCAATATTTTTAAAGATTTTATTTATTTATTTGAAAGACAGAGTGAGAGAGAGAGAGCACATGAGAGGGGGGAGGGTCAGAGGGAGAAGCAGGTTCCCTGCTGAGCAGGGAGCCCGATGCGGGACTCCATCCTGGGACTCCAGGATCATGACCGGAGCCGAAGGCAGTCGCTTAACCAACTGAGCCACCCAGGCACCCTGAGCAATATTTTTTGGATCTGTCTGGTCAGTAAAGGACAATAAAAGCATAAATAAACAGATGGAATTACATCAAACTAAAAAAGGTTTTGCACAGTGAAGGAAAACATCAATAAAATGAAAAGGCAACCTACTGAATGGGAGAAGGTATTTGCAAATGATATATCTAATAAGAGGTTAATATCCAGAATATATAAAGAACTTATACAACTCAACACTAAGAACACAAATAATTCCATTAAAAATTTACAGAGGACCTGAATAGACATTTCTCCAAAGAAGATATATAGATGACCAACAAACTCATGAGATATGCTCAACTTCACTAACCATCAGAGAAATGAAAATCAAAACCACAATAAGATATCACCTCACACTTGTCAGAATGGCTGTTATCAAAAATAAGAAATAATGAATCCTGGTGAGGATTTGGAGAAAAGGGAACTCCATGCACTGTTGGTGGGAATGAAAAATGGGGTAGCTGCTATGGAAAATAGTATGGGGGTTTCTCAAAAATTAAAAATGGAACTACCATATGATTCTGCAATTCCACTTCTGGGTATTTATCTGAAGAAAATAAAAACATTAATTTGAAAAGATATATGCACCCCTATGTTCACTGCAGTATTATTTACAATAGCCAAAATAAGGAAGCAACCTAAACGTTCACTGATAGATATATCGGTAAGAAAATATTTTTATATATATCATGTATGTATCATATATCAGCCAAAAAAAAACCACTATGAGATCTTGACATTCGTGCAACATAGATGGACCTAGAGGATACTATGCTGAGTGAATAAGTCAGAGAAAGACAAATACCCATGATTTCACTTATATGTGGAATCTAAGAAAACAAAACAAGCAAAGAAAATTACAAAAACCAAACCCAAACAGAAATATACTGTAAATATAGAAAACAAACTGGTGTTTGCCAGAGAGGAGGGGATGGGAGAATGAAAAAAAATAGCAGAAAGAAATTAAAAAGTACAAACTTCCAGTTATCAAATAAATAAGACATGGGGGTACAATGTACAGCATAGGAAATATAGTTAATAACATGTAACAACTTTATATGATGACAGGTGGTAATTAAGTTATTATGGTGATTACCTTGTAATGAATACAAATGTTGAATCACCTATGTTGTACAGGTGAAACTAATATATTATTGTCAACTACACTTCAATAAAAAGAAATAATAAAAAGAAATACTATTCTCCACTAAAAGGAACTGGGGCACGTTGGAGAAATGATTGAGTCTAGGGCTAAGGCAGAAAAATCAAATGAGTGTGGAACATCTCATGTCAGAATGTAAGGAGGTGTGGGCGCCTGGGTGGCTCAGATGGTTAAGCATTTGCCTTCGGCTCAGGTCATGATCCCAGGGTCCTGGGATTGAGTCCCGCATTGAGTCCTGCTTCTCCCTCAGCCTCTCTGTCTCTGTCTCTTGTGAATAAATAAAATCTTTAAAAAAAAAAAGAATATAGGGAGGTTTTCAAAGAACTATGGAGATTTGTCAAAGGGACCCAAAACCAGTTTGAAGTGGCTCCCAATAGCCAAACCAGGGACAATTTGAATGTCATAAATAACAATGATAGTAATGGATTATAACCCAGTTAGTATAATTGGAAAACATGATTCAAAATTAAAATTGTGAGCCATTTGTCAGTATTCAATGAAAACAGACTAAGCAATGGTTCTGTAATAATGTTGCCAAGATGCATAACCTCAGTGTAGTTATGAGAGAACATTTTATAATCCTAAATCCCAAATTGAAGAAAAGGATTATTTTAGCAAATAATCAGCCTATAATCATAAAACTTTTCAAAGTCATGAAATTCAAGAACAAATGTAGATAATAGATAACTAAACAACAAACTTAGATATTGAGAACTAAATGGTTGATTCTGAACTGGATCCTATTGCTATAAAGTGCCAATATTGTGATAAAGGGGAAATTTGAATGGAATTTGAGGCTTAGATATTAGTAATGTATCACTATTTTCTGATTTTGAAGGGTCTGCTTAAGGAGAATTCATTTCTATGTAAGAATTATACATTAAAATATTTTGAGTTATTAAGATTGTTTTTGGCAATTCTTAACTGTTTCAGGAAACATTTATTCTTTGAACTATATTGTATCATTTCTCTAAGATTTATTTAGATTGCTACAAAATTAAACAAAAGCCCATGAAGTAGTACACTTAGAAATGTGCAAATATAAAATAAAAAAGAATCTCGGACTTACAGATTTTATATACTCAGTGTTGATATATTTTAATTGATAGATTTTGATACCAAAGAATAAATAACCCTGATTTTTCATTAGCATAATCAGTCATTTTTATTCCTTCAGTTTACATAAATTCCCTAATATGTTTCATTTTCTCATAACTATTACTTCTTATTATAATAATTATGTTGACAATAATAATGAAAATAATAAGATATATTTAAAGAGAGCTTTCTGTGTGTGAACCACTGTTAAGAGTTTTAATATATTCTAACTCATATCATTTTAACTTCCTTTACGTGCTAGATGTCTATTATATGGAATTACAATACAAATGGACTTACTGCTTTCATTTATGACTTGCATTAGGAAAAAAGCACATGAAACTAATAATACACTATATGTTAACTAACTGGTATTTAAATAAAAACTAAAGGGGGAAAAAAGAGTTCTCCCCTCCTTCTTGGCTCTTCTGTAAGTGAAGTGTACAGAATTCATAGTATTCTTTTTTGTTGTTGTTGGAGAACTGAATCAAACAGATTTTATTCAACTTTTTAGGATGAGGAAAACAAATGATATAAAATAAGTCATAAGAGATGCTCTCTTGTACTATTTCAAACTATTTTCAATGTTTTACAAAATGCTCACACAGCAAATACAAAAAGCTTTAACACAGTCTTATAACTTTTGCTGCAATAAACTCAACATTAACAAACATACAAATTTCTTCTATACCAATCTTAAAAGTAGAATTACTGAATTACTAATTTTTACAATGTTATTCATACTTATTTTTATTCATATGTATTTAGTGAGATCATTGCCAATATATACATTATTTTCCTTAACTTTATTTTTACATTAAGCCTGGTATCTGTCATGCAGCCATCAAAAACCTTCCAGTAAGTTACACAGGTTTGTAGTCCAATTTAGACTCTAGCTTCTTAGAATCAACCACTTTTCTGACTGCTTTCATGAAGTCCTCCTGTACTACAAAATCATAGTATTCTATTGAAGAGGGTTTCTTTGAAACTGATATTATTCCATTTATCTGAAGAATATAATTTATTTTTAGACGTTCCCATGGTGTAAAGTTTTTTAGCAGTTGCAGCATGGATGAATTTAAACGTATGATTTCACAGCCTGAATTTGAATGTCTTCACAATCAAATAGTTTCAAAAGTGGTTTACCAAGGAAGAAATTCACTTTGTGGCAATGGAATTTTGGAACCACCAGAACAATGTGATTGTGGTGGTACAGAGGTTAGTGACAAACATAATAGCTTATCTAAAGGTTTTTCTTTGTGTTTCTTGTGTAGCCTTATAAATATAGATGTGATATAAAACAGAAAGACTTTTTTTTTTTCCCCAAATGCTGCACCATTTATCAAATATCTAAGGGAGATATTGGGCCATGTGATAATGGACTCATCCTGAATTTAAAGCATGTGAAGAGTTTAAGTAAAGGGTAAGTGTAGCATAAATTAAAGAGGTAGATTTTCTTCATTGTGTAACCATTAATAGCAATACCCACTTTTCTGTATTATAAACATGGTTAATGTCGATATTATTACCATTACCTCAGTCATCTCCTGAACTCCTCCAAAGTGACTGCATTGGTTCACTAAGTTATTACGTGTGTATTGTTTACCTCCTCAAATCCTAATTTCCATTTTTGCAACTGTGGGATTTTTATTTATTTGAATTCAACTTCACAGAATTTGATTAATAATAGTCCTTGATGTGTTGTTATATTTAGCTTTTTGCTATTACTTTTTTTAATTTGTGTTTGGTAAGATGGCTAATCATTTAATTTTGTTATAACTGCTTTCATGTAATTATTAATAGTGATAATTTTGAGTATTTCATATTTGCTTGAGAAAATGTAAACTGTTAGGAACAAAATTCTATATAACTTGATTTCATTATAATTTCTAGGTTAATGACTCAAATATTCTATATTTTTATTAGTTTTGTTTGCTTAAACTCTCAGTACTTAAGAAATAATACTGATACCTCCAACTATACAGTTGTATTTGCCTAATTCTCATTATAATTTACTCAGTTCATGCTTTGTATATTTTGAAGGTTTTTATATGGTGCAAACATATTTACAATTTTTATATCTTCCTAGAAATTTAACATTTACCTTTAAATACTGAATCTGTTTTTCTCTCATGTTGCTTTCTGTTTTAGTCTATCTGGTCGGGCATACATCTGTATCTGTGCACACACTGGCTTTCTTTAATTCGTATTTCCCTAATATTTTTCTATTTACATTTAGTTTTTCTGTACTTTTAAGTTCAATATTTTCATTGGGTTTTAATTTATTATTCACTCTGTCTTTGATTTATAAGATTATCCCCGCAAACATTATTATGACTTTTTGCCTGTTGTTTTAACTAACTAGAGTCCATAATTTATTCAGATTTCGTTTGTTTTTACCTAATGGCATCTTTCTGTCCCAGGATCATCTCCAGGATACCTCATTACATTTACCTGTTATGACTTTTTTTGTTGAGAGGGTGGAGAGGGATCGAGGGGGAGGGAGAGAGAGAATATTTATTTATTTATTTATCTATTTATATTATTTTAATTTTTAATTTTTTATTTATTCATTTGGGACAGAGAGATAGAGCAGGAGCAGTGGGGAGAGGCAGAGGAAGAGGGAGAAGCAGACTCCCTGCTGAGCAGGGAGCCCACTGCGAGGCTCCATCCCAGGACCTGGAGATCATGACCTGAGCCAAAGGCAGTTGCTTAACCATCTGAGCCACCCAGGCTCCCGTATTTATTTTTTATTATTAACATATAATGTATTATATTTTTCAGAGGTACAGGTCTGTGATCCAACAGTCTGTGATTCAACACAATTCACCAGCACTCACCATAGCACATACCATCCCCAATGTCAATCACCCAGTCACCCCATCCCTCCCACCCCCCTCCACTCCAGCAACCCTCAGTTTGTTTCCTGAGATTAAGAGTCTCTTTTGGTTTGTCTCCTGGGAGAGAGAGAGAATCTTAAGCAGGCTCCATGCCCATCTAGCAGAGCCCATCATAGGGCTGGATCTCACAACCCTGAGATCATGATCCCAGCCGAAACTGAGTTGGACACTTAACCGACTGAGCCACCCAGGCACCCCTGGCTGTTATGACTTCTTATGGTCCTCTAGACTACATATTATTTATAAGTTTAGTTGTCTCAAAATTTTTATATTTCCTATGTTCACTTTGCCACATTTGTTTTTCTTTTTTTTTTTTATTAACATATAATGTATTATTTGTTCCAGGGGTACAGGTCTGTGATTCATCAGTCTGACACAATTCACAGCGCTCAATTGAATTTTTTCTTTTGATCTGTATGTCTTGTTTTTCTTTCTTCCACTATTTCTGTGAGTGATTCGGTAGATATGTACTTTTGATCTCCCTTTAGTGATTATCCTTGCATTTTACCATATATACTTAAGGTTTAACCATAGCTGGGCCACATTCTCCCAAAATAACAGGATTTATAACCCAATTAACTTACATGATGTTTTTGTAAAATATTTAATTTCTGTCATCTTTATTCTTTACACTGGAAAGTACTCCAAAGATTTTATTCAGAAGGTAGTTGCTTTATTTTACCTACCATTCCTTTTGTTTATTAAGGGGTTATTTTTTGCATGTAAAAGTTTCCTTCTGAAATAATGTCCTTTTGAATTATATTCTATTCCTTAAAATATACCTAAATATATACTTAAAATATACTTTATATATTCTCTTTATATATGTTCTCTTGATAGGACAGTTCACTGCCCACTTTTGTTTACCAAAAAAAAATATTTATGTCATACTCATCATTTCATTGTGATATATAATACACATGAAATATGAATGAAGAGTGTAAAAAATAGATAGTTAACAAGCACCTGAATAATTTACACTGAGGTCAAAACAAACCTTACCTCTACCAAAGGAGCTCTTTGCATGTCTCTTCTCGATTACATGCCCCTTCCTTCCAATCATCATTTACAATTTAATGATGATCATTTCAGTGCTTTACTCTTCAAGATAGTTTACCTCTATTTTTTGCATCCTTATGCAATATACTTTGGTTGACTGTTTTCTACCTTTATATTGCAATCATATGGTTTCTATCATTTGGTAACTTGGACTTTCATTCAATATTATACTTGCAAAGCTCATCTATTTTTAATATAGCTATAATCCAAATGTTTTCATTTCTTTTAGTGTTAATTTTATGAATAGTATAGTTTATTTATTGATCTATGTCAGTGAAAATGTAAGTTTTATTGTTAAGACTCTTGCAGTTAAGGCTTTCTTTTTGCAAATATTTCCTGCTGAACATGTGCCTGCATTGCTCTAGGCTCTTCCCCAATATGTGAAAGTGCTATGTCCTGAGGTATATGTGTATGTATTTCTTTGAATTGAAGATATCTTACCTACTTTGAGTTTTCTTATTCTTGAATGATCTGTGCCTGTCTTTCATACATTTTTTGGCTATTTCATCAGCATTCACTTCTGTAAATTATCAGCAATTTATCATTAGTGTGGTAGAAAGCTTAGAGGTATGCTGTTTCTCCAGTAAACCAAGTTTTCTTGGCATGAGACAGGTCTTGTAGGGAGGACCCCAATGATCTAGTAGTTCAGGTGAAGCAGTAGGTGGGCTGGTGATATATGTTTCTTATGGGGTGAACAGCCTCCTGTTTGTGGGGTTTACCAGTGTCAGAGGCCAGTCTGTTTATGAAGGAAATTTGGGGGTTTTCCCACCCAATTAAATTGGATTTTTTCATAAAGAACTTTTAATGGGAATATCAGAATCATAAATTTATTTCACTTAACTACAGAGTAAAGTTCTTTGGTTCCAATGAGCCAGTGGATATCAAAGGAAATTCAGGGCCAGAAGATGAAATCAGCTGTGTATGGTCAGAGATGCCTGCAATTTCATGAGATTTAAATCAGATGTAAGGCCCAATAACAAGGTTTTTTTCCCCAATTATCCTGGACTGCTTTAATTGATCTTGTTGCTGAACTCTACCTACCCCCAATGAAACTTAGTTGCTTTTTTTTTGGTGACTCATATAGTGACATATCAAGAATATTATTTGAAGTGTAAAGTCTGTCTTTAATCATATGTTTAAATTAAATAGCATGCAGCATAAAGCAATAAAGTTTTTCAGTGCAGGCCATTATAAAAATGTTATGATTGTGACAGAATATCTACACACTCAATAGTATGTCACATTTTACAAGAATTAGTATAATCCATAGAAGACACATAACTGTGGGAGTCCAGGACAGTAAAACTATGCTCTAAGCATTGCCTGATGAAATTAAAATGAATTTGGTCAACTTCCCACAATGGTATACAAAGTAGTAGCTATACTCTGTGCCAAAAGCTATTAGTGGAAAAAATATTTTATTTTATTTATTTTTTGAAAAGATTATTTATTTATTTGTCAGAGAGAGTGTGCACAAGCAGGGGGCGCAGCAGACAGAGGGAGAAACAGGCTCCCCGCTGAGCAAGGATCCCAATGTGGGACTCCATCCCAGGACCCTGGGTTCATGACCTAAGCCTAAGGCAGACGCTTAATTGACTGAGCCACCCAGGCATCCCAGAAAAAATATTTTAATTATTGTTAATTTGTTGTTCAGTCTGGGAACAATGGTTTCTAATTCTTGTTTATATTTCAGTGGTATAATGCAAGCCTCTAATTACTCATGACTTACCCCAGCCCCAGACAGTACTTTATTTTTTCCTTACATGCGACATTCTACAACTTTGAGATACTTTAGGAGTATAGGCAGTTCTTACTTTACCCAGTCATTATAGAAGCTATGAATGTGTATCATGTTGAGAACCAAGAAAAAATTTATCAAGTGGTAAAAACTAACACAAGAACAAAAATACACGAAAGGTATAAAAAACAATAGCCAGGTTAGTTCCAGTGTTTAATAAGCTCAAACATATATTTTCAGAAGGTGTTACCTGTTGTAAAATTTCAATCTATTTTTTAAAAAAGTACTTGATGATTTTTTAAAAAGTTGATGGTAGATTTATGGCAAAATTGAGCAAATAATACAGTGAGCTCTATATAACCACCCCACCCACTACCCCAATTCCAGCACACAGTTTTTCTATTATAAGCATCTAATGTTAGTGTTGTACATTCGTTATAATGGATGAGCCAGTATTGATACATCATGATTAACTAAATTCAATAGTTCACTTTTTGTGTTATACAATTTTGAGGATTTTC